TAGAATAAAATAATATAAATGAAGAGGGATTTAGACAATAATCCCCCCCCGGGGGGCAGGTTGGGACAACAGATATATTCTGCCCATCAGCCATGGCTGCACCAAACCTGCACCGTTTCCGCTGTACGAGGTATCTCGTGATAGCCCTACCTCAGAGCAACACAGCTGTGCGTGTCCTGGCTCGATTGGTGCCTCGTGGGCGGAGATACAGCCGGGGGGGGATTTAGACACACCGTAAAAAAAAAGGGTACAATATATACCATAGCTAGTTCGTGTGTACACAGAGGGAAGAGAGTGCTGAACTCTTCTCGCATTGAAAATCGAACGCAAAGTACCGCAGGAGGGGAGGGTAGAGAGGGGCTCTTCTGTGTGACCACGGGTTGGAGTAAACGGTAAACGGCACTACAGAACGCGCCACCACTTAAGAACCGCTTATTTAGCTTGAGGCTCGACGCTTATTGGTTACCTCCAACCGAGCACATGTTCTTATTTTCGAAGTTCTTATTTGGAGCAGGTATCCACCTACGGTAAACGAGGTTCTTGTTCTTATTTCTATACCGATTGCCGTATGCAGAGGACACAGACAGGTCTTCTTTCTGCGTGGATTTCATCACGAGACACTACTACTGCTGTAAGAGTACAATGTAGCCGTAAAATCGCCCCCTAGCTAGGTGGCAGTGCCGCATGTACGGTATGGGAGAGGAGAGGTTGCCGAGAAAGGCTTAGGCGAAGTGGACAAACAAGAAGAATTGATGTACCAACCTACGGAGTGAGTTAATGTTGGTAGATGACGCATGGAAGGGGGTCCACAACTTGACAAAGGTGATCCACTTGATTGAGAGGGGAGGTCTAGAGGGGTTCAAGGAGAAGATATCTGTTGTTGCTTTGGCGAGAGAGAAGGACAGGATCAAACCAAAGAAACCAACGACACGGAGGGTCTCGATGTGTACGGAATATCAAAGAAGGAATATATTTAAAGATGACCTGCATGGAGGGCCAATGGATGCAGAGACAAGGCTGAAGGTCAAACCTAGGACTGGGGATGTTGGCCTTTGAGAACGAACGTAGACGAAGATTGAGGAAGGTAGACGATGAAGACGACAAACCCAGGTGTGATTGCGGCTCCGAGGGCGAAGACCATCTTCATGTACTTGCGGAATGTCCGTGGTACAAGAAGGAGAGGGAAATGTACATGACTGAGCTAGCTGGGAAAAAAGTAGAAGGAAAAAGTACAGAAAGAAAGACAATTGACGAATGAATGTAAATAGCCAGGAGAAGACGGTAGCTGTACTGGGGCGGCATAGGAAATGGGTTGAAAATAAGGCGGAAATTGATACCGATGGGAAAACATGTTTGAGCGACCTTTTCGGCAACGTAGGAAGGAACGATTGGCCATCGGTGATCGATCCTGTGGGAACAATGCTCCGTCCTGTCGAGGACGCGTGGTCAACGGTCTAACCGCTAAGTACGGCTGCCAAAACATGAGAGAGAGTACACCCCCCTTCGGATCCAGCTCCTACGATCGGGAAGAGGCGTAGTAAGTAGGTTAAAATGGCTGGTAGGCCGTATGTTGTACGATGTGAGAGAGGAGACATTGCCGAGAGAAGCCTAGGAGGTGAAGTGGACAAACAAGAAAAATGGAGGGACCAACCCGGAGGGAGTGGATTAGGTTGTAGACGGCGTAGGAAGAGTTCACAATCGATTAGTTAGGTTGTTGGTAAATTGGAAACGAACGGTAGATCTAGAGGGGTTCGAGAACAAGAAATCTGCTTCTTTCGCCGAGAGAGAACACCATATAACAAAAGGATCCAAGGATAAGGAGGGTCTCCATGTGTATGGATGTTGAAAGAAGGTATAGGTACCTACTACATGGAATGGATGCAGGGAGAAAGTCGAAGGTCAAATTTTGGAGTGGGGAAAACGGCCTTCGAGAACATTGACGAAGATTCAGGAAGGTAGACGATGAAGACGAGTTCAATGTGAATGCGACTCCGAGAGCGAAGACCGGGTTCATGTCGTTGCGAAACGTCCGTGGTGTTGGGCGACAAGGACAGAGAAATGTACATGACTGAGTTGGACATGTAGAAGAAAAGGTACAGGGAGGTGTTTGAGGCATGGAATAGCCAGGAGAAGACGGTGGTAGCTGTACTGGGGCATAGGAAGTGGGTTGAAAAGGCGGGAAGGAAGTGATATCGATATAGTAGGGTAGATAGGCTAGGGAGAACATGTTTTGGCCACGTTTGTTTGACAAAGTACTTCGAAGCGGGAAGGAACGATTGGCATCAGTGATCCTGTTGGAACATGGATGAGTCCTCTCGAAGACGTTGGTCAATTAATTGTCCTACCGCTAAGGCATGCGAAACATGAGAGAGAGTACCTCTCCCCCTCCGCGCGTACAAGAATTCATCACGAGGTCCTCTCTCTCTCCCCCCCCCCCGCCTCGAATCAGAAACTAACTGCTGTTTGGGTCACCCCCAGCCTCCTATGTTCTTATCTTGCAGCCGCCGCGTTTTCGGGCTCCGTTCTTATCTGTATGCGCATTGGTACACACCGGGCGGGTTCTTGTTCTTAATACAACGTCGGAACTGAGCATATATATGTTCTTATGGCCAAGTTCTTAGATTTTGGATTGTTTGAGGCTCAAGTTCTTAACTGCTAAGTTCTTAAGTGGTGGCGCGTTCTGTACTAGTGCTGTGAGCGCTGATTTGAAGTGCATGAAGAAGACAAAAAAAATAAATAAAAAATAATAATCTAAGATGTGTGACCACGGGTTGGAGTAAACGGTACGGCACTAACTAGTGCTGTGAGCGCTGATTTGAAGTGAATGAATGAAGAAGACAAAAAAAATAAATAAAAAATAATAACATATATTATATGAGACACACAAGACAGCCCCTGTTACCCACAGCGGAGATGTCCCTATATATATGCTGTCTGGGAAATCGTAGACATACAGACAGGTACTTTCTGACGCTATGAATTCATTGCTAATCTGTCTCAGACTCTATGATAGAGATGGATTCGTTGTGTCATATTATTAAGAAAAAAAAAATGCCTCTCTGCTCCTTCGCGCAAGAAGAAATTACCTACCTCCATCTACTCCAGAAAGCATTCCGCAGACCCCCCAACACACCGCTCTCGCGGCACACGCTTGTTGCATGCATTGATTGCACTGCTGCTGCTACTGCTGTTGGTTGTGTACACGTGCCATGAAGAACCCCCTTTTAGCCGGAGGGGGGGAAAGGCGAGATGGCTCGATTGCCTTGCCAGCGCTGCAGAAGTTGTTGCAGCTGGCTTACTCTGAGGACACCGACCAGCAACTGCAGGTGAGTTGATCCCTCGCGACAAAGGCAAAGGTCGCAACAAGCACAAACGTCGAGAGAGAGAGACATTCAGCCGGTGTCATATTGCCTGGAGCCTTGTTGCCTGCTGAGCTCGGTTTCGGTTTCAGTTCGGGTTGCTATGCTGATGGTGGTGATACTTGTCAGTTTGACTGGTCTGTGCTGCGGAAAAATTATTACTCTGGGCGAGAGGGCAGGTGGGTGAGGTAGATACGTAGAGCCGCCGATGCACACACAGCATGGGCTACGGCGCGCATAGCTTTGGGGAGCGACTTCGCAACTACGTGTTGCGGCTATGTTCTTTATTGGTGTGCTCCTTGCGCCTGCTATATAGCTACTCTCAGGTCCATTCCTAGGGCTTCTGCTTTGTGCAAACTGGAACCTATATTTCCGAACAGACTGGTACTATACCGCAGGTCGCAACACATCTCAGTTCTTCGGCCTCTTCACGGTTCGCATGGCACCCATTGCCCTACTCCACCCATACCCGAAAGCCAAGACGACAAGAGAACAATTTCTGGCCGTGAAGAGACGGAAAACGAAGGTACCCCTCCATCCCGTGATATACTGCGGGGGACACGTGAAACAAGCACCAACGGGCAGTCTGACCGTGAAGGTTTAGGTTTTGCTCGGTTGGTCACGTTCATGCATGCGAAGGAACCAGCCAGACTTGGAAGTGTGAACCGTTAACAACCAGAAATATAACCCCCCCCGGGCAGGCCGTCCTCCACCTGCTAGGATCCCGCTGGTGCATGGAAAAATATCTTCAATGGTGTTCTCAATGATGGGCGTCCAGAAGAATGGGACAACAAGCACGTACACGTTGAGCAAAACGAGGTCCCAAACATTATTGCACAGACAGGCGCTTGATCTCCCAACCCCCCCCCCCTTGCCGCTGCCCGAATCAGACACGGACGCGGCACCCCGCCCGAAATTCCACCTCTCGAATTCGCGTAAACCCCCCGACTGGACTCCTCCTCCTCCCTTCCAAACGCAGGCAGTGATGGGCATCTCGAAGATGATCGAGCGACATCCTGCGGACGCGTCCTCCTTTGGCCCCCTCTGCCACACCCTCTCGAGGCTCGCGGCAAGCGAGCACCGGGCGGTCGTAGCGTACGCCGCGCGGGGCATCAAGCTGCTGGTTCTGAACGACGCCCTGCGGCCGCAGGCCACGGTGGCCGGGATCCCCTCGGTGCTGGCGGCGGCGCTGAGGGAGTGGGAGGACGATGCGCCTTGCCTGAGAGAGATCTTGGGGTGAGACGTCAGGAGCGCGTAGTACCTGGTTGGTGAGGTTTTCGATATTAACGCTCCTGGCCTTTCAGGTCGGCAAGCGGTGGGAGGGGAGGGAGGGAGAATGCTTGGGTAAGAGTTGTTGGTATTGGTGTAGGTGTTGTGGTTGTCTTGGTTTTTGGCGTTGTCGTTGTTGTTGTTTTGCTGTGCGCATCGGAAGTGGTCTACGCAGGCAAGAGGACCTTTGGTGAGGATGCCGGGCAAAGGAGGAGGGGGCGCAGTGGCTGTGATGTGGCTGTGTAGTGTCCGACGCTGTTTATCGAAGGCGCTGCGAGCAGAATGCCACCGCAACAGCAGTACAAGCGAGCAACAATCACCTCCTATTCTTACCCTCCTCCATCACCTCGTCTCCGCCCTCTCGCCTCCGCAGGGCTTTGCAAACCCTCTGCTGCGACGCGGCGACGGTGCTCCCTGTCGTCGATGCTGGCGCATTGGGTAAGCACACTACTATTGCATGTAGCTCTTTTGTTGATATTTTGCGCCGCGCCGTTGTTGTCGGGCACTACTGCTGTCGTTGCTGCTGCTGCTGCTGCTGCTGTTCTTGTACTGGACGATTTGGTTGATGCCAACGCCGAACGGGACACAGGCGATCATGAAACGCTAGATCTGTTGTTCAGAATCACGAAGAAAAGAAGTCGATGCGAAGACCTGACGCGAATGCGCGTGTTTTCTTTTCGGTCACGACGGCGACGCCGGTGCTTCATCTCTCTCTCTTTCTCTCTCTCTCTCTCTCTCTCTCTCTCTCTCTCTCTCTCTCTCTCTCTCCCTCTCTCTTTCCCTCTCTCTCTCCCTCTCTCCCTCTCTCTCGGTCTCTCTGTAACCTTTGGCGCTGATGAGAGCAGCATCGGTCCTGGAGTTGCTAGACACGAGCAACATGGAGCTAAGAGTTTTGGCGACGGCCATAGCGGCGAACGTGCTGTCCTTCTCGGACAGCCTTCTGCTGACGAACGAGGAATGCATTGACGGCATCTCCGACTCCATGGGGATACTGCTGGATGCGGTCAAGAGGTGCGATTTCGCGAGTTTGTTCGGCAAAAGCACTGCTGTTGCCGAGTGGTTGAAGCTTCAAGGAGTTGTGTAGCAGGAGCAGTATTCTGAGCGCTATACAACATGAGGAAATTCAACAAGGTGTACGGCAGTAGCAGCATTCTGAGGGCTACACACAACAGGAGCAATCACAACAAGTAGAACTTGTTACCACCTACGCGAGTTTTGCCGTGTACGCCTCGGTGGAACTACGTATGTAGCACCGGCCCTAGACAAATTACGGAGACACGCCCGTTGGGGGTTTCAACAAAAGGCGTTACGTTGGTCCCCTTCCTCACGTTTGCCCCCCCCCCCTGTCCCCATGGCCGACTTTTCATATAATCCCTTGGCAGCCGAGACGGCGCAATCCGCGACTACGGCCTGGCGGCGTTGGCCAACGCCTGTGCGCACCCGGTCCTCGCTGGCTGCGCGAAGGAGCTCGGGGCGCTGGAGCTCCTGCGGAGAAATTTCTTGCAGGACAAGGTCTCCACGGAGGCGTCGGGGAGATGGCGGGGAGGGGGGCGGCTGCTCCGCTCACGGTTCGGCCAAAGACAGAAGGCGGAGACGGCCGTGGCGCGGCTGAACGGGGCCGGTTTCGGCGGCGACGGGGGGGGAGGAGGGGGGGACGTAGAGGAAGGGGGGG